TACGGTACTGTACTCGTACAGACTGGGGGATAAGAGCATGACATTGTGGAAGCAAAGTGAACCACCCCACAAGCTCCCACTTGGCGTGCCCCCATTGGTGCGGTACGAGTACATGTACTAGTACATTCGCTGTTATGGTAATGCCGAGCGGTCTGTTACTGGGGATAAGGCCATGATTTACAGTTATCATACCAGGAAGCCTGAGCCCCCTATTTTTGTGCTGTGCTGTACCCTTGCATCCCAAATAAAGCTGCCCAAGTGTACTTGGACCCAATGCCTTCCGCTTTCCTGGAACCTGCCCCTCCGATTTCCATCCTTCTCACATCCCCTGTCCCTTAACAATACATGGACCACAGCACGCTCCGACCGACCGACATGTATTGCTCCGGAAACCGGCCCCCGGGTACTACAGGTGCAGGGCATCAAAACAGTTTCAACATCACAAATAGCTACAACAATATATATAACAATACCACTTATATGGACGAAGAGCCCCTACAGAAATGGTTATCGCCTCTAAACAGCCCCGCGCGCCACTGGGATGTTAGTGCCCGCCGACAGGATGGCTTAGGAGATTGGTTTTTGCAAACCGAAGAATATATCAAATGGCGTGATGGCGAAGACGGATCTAGCAAGGCTACTCTATTCTGTCCCGGAAATCCGGGAGTAGGGAAAACCTATCTTAGGTAAGAAATTCCCGCGGCTCCCTACGAGCGATAGTTCGCTAACTAACTATCAAATAATACTAGTTCATTGGTGATAGATACGCTCTGCGATCAGATGGTGGGAAACAGCACTGCCGTCGCTTACCTCTATTGCGATTTTCAGGACCAAAAGGAGCAAACCACTGTCAACATGATAGGCGCTCTAGTCAAGCAACTTGTGCGAGCCTTAGTAACGGTTCCTTCCGAGATTGATGAGGCATTCAGGAGGGCAGAGCGCGATGGCCGAGGACTCCGACCTTCAGATGCCCTTAAGCTCTTGCAGGCCGCCCTCTCCCCGTTAAAGCGGGTCTTCATCTGTATTGACGCCCTGGATGAATGTCCGGATAAGTTTTTGCCTGAACTTCTCCGTTCACTGCATGCCGTTTCTCAAGGGTCGCCAGGCGTTCGGTTATTCATTACTGGGAGACCCCATGTTGGAGATGTGCTAGAGAAATATTTTCCGGAGCGTGCACAGGTTCCCCCAATCAGCCCCAACCCCGGTGATCTAAGGGGGTTTCTCGAGAAAGCATTGGAGGAAGACTTGATCTGTGACGCAATGGACTCTGCGCTACGAGCACAGATTATTGAGTGTATCCCAGAAAAGATTTCCGACGCGTATGTGATCGCCATTTCCGTATCAAAAGCCCAGGAGCGCTGACCATGTCGCCTAGATTCCTGCTTGTTTCTCTAAGCATAACTGCAATATTAAGGGAAACAACTATCCACAAGAGGCGAGAAAAGCTCGAGATAATGACAAGCGGTGGCGGTGGCGGTTTAGACAACGCTTATCGTGAGACGTTGGATAGGATAAGGGAGAAGGGTGATGGTCAGGCAAAACTCTCCATGGATGCGCTAATGTGGATTTCTCGGTCGGAGCGGCCAATGGAGAGTGAAGAGCTATGCGTCGCCCTTGGTGTAGAAATTGGTTCTAAAGAAATCAATTCTCAAAACATCCCTTCCATATCAACATTGCTGGCCTCATGCCTGGGACTTGTCGCGGTGGATGAGAGATCCACGGTCCGCTTGGTGCATTTCACCTTCCAAGAATATCTCAACAAGCATTCCGAACATTTCGAGAACCCCTACTCGACAATGGCCGAAGTTTGTTTGACGTATCTTAACTACGATTCTGTCGACAAAATTTCGGCTGTCTTCACGGACCCCGGACAGGCACGGTTCCTCCAATACGCCTCCAGTAACTGGGGGCCCTTTGCAAGGAATGGGATGAGAGAAAGTGTAAAATGTCTTGCACTTCGACTTCTTAATAAATACGATAAACATATATCGGCTAAGCTTCTATTTTCCGAGAAGTGGGATTGGGGATATGGAGGGCAGCCCACGGGATTTAGTGGACTGCACTGCGCTGCATACTTGGGACTGGAAGAGATTGTCAATTGTTTGTTAGGAATTGGAGGTTGGGATATCTTTATGGCTGATTCCTGGGGCCGCACCCCACTGGCATGGGCTGCCCAGGGCGGGAATGAGGGAGTAGTGAAGCTCTTCCTGGCACGGGAAGAGGTCAACCCCGACTCACGGAGTAAGGAAGGTAAAACACCACTGCTATTGGCTGCGCAGAATGGACATGAGGGAATAGTGAAGCTGCTCCTGGCCCGGAACGAGGTCAACCCCGACCCATCGAGTAATTATGGCAATACACCACTGCTATTGGCTGCCACCTACGGACATGGAGGAATAGTGGAGCTGCTCCTGGCACGGAAAGAGGTCAACCCCGACTCACCGAGTAAGAACGGTGAAACACCCCTC